ATAAATTGAATTTGAGCAGTCATTCCACTTTGGAAAGTCAATAAAAAAGGCATATTACTTTTTTTTATGAGAGCAAAAAAGCTGTATATAAAATCATAATTACTAATTTTCCAACAAATACCCTGAAATGTTTTAATTAGTTTGCCGTAGTTGTCAGTTCTTTTTAAATATAAACATTTGTAATAGATTGACCAACCATTAACTCTAGCTCACCAGGTTTCTAAATCAACCATTAAACTTTCTATACATCCCATGCAACACTTTCCAAACATGTGTGACTTGAAAACAACATGTTCTGCTCAACTATTATAGGGGAAAACATATTACTGGGACTTTAACTGGAACATTAGGCACAAAACATCTTACTCGTCGCTAGTCTTTAGCTCATTAAGCTGGAGCTCTGACTCTTTCTCATGTTGCTACAGACTGCAGGTCAGCGGGCTGAAAAAAACCCTCCTACACTTTATCCACACATTTGCAAAAAAGATGTAGCCCTTTGGATATATTTTATAACAAAAAGAATAAAGCCAAATTGTGGACATTTGAGCAGGTCCCACTATCACCATTATTAATTTAAAGCATTTTAAAATGACAGCTAACAGCCTCCTCTGGTCAAATCAGCTTTTGGGTCAGAGCAGCTTATTATAACCCTGCTGTTCTTTTAACAAATGATCCACATTGGGTCTTTACTGAGAATTATGATCAAAAATTCAGTTTTTGGCTAAATCCAAACAGAAATAAGCTATCTTTAGCCAGAACACCCCCATCCTGTGAAACGGAAACAGAAACAGAAAACCTGTGAAAAGAGCTAAAGAAAAGAGCAAAGGAGAGGACGACTGAGCATCCAAAAAACAGAGCAGTGGATTATAAACTCAGATCTTTAAATTATTTTGTGACTCAGTTCGATTCAGGACTTTTACAACTTGGACTCCAAGCAAAGGCATTTGCTCTAGATGGACACGTCATGGAAAGTTATTTTTTGGTGAGATTTAAACTCTTTTTGAAATTTAAAATGACAGATTAAGCATAATGTGGATGCATTCTAGCAATATGTTTTACTACTACAATGTATACAGATGTCCACTTTCTCCGATCAGTGAGTGGTGATGCAAGACACCTGCACAGTGACAGCAACTGCAAACTGATAGTTTAAAAGTTGCATTATATACAGCAGACTGCTACAGTAATTGCATTTGCTTAGCCTTCCTAAAGAAAAGCCTAATCAGAAATGGCATCATACCATGTTCCAACGGCCCTATATGATAAACTTGTGAAAAAATGCCAGCGATATCAGGAGGGGAGACACAACAGAGAAGCCAAATATTTTTCTTCTGGGATGGAAAAACAGCAGCAGGAAACCACTAATATTTCATAACAGATTAATACTCCATGATGCCCGGGGCAATATTTTACTATATGTATGTATACTGTTGACTTTGGAAGGGTTATATAGCATTGTGTGCAACCTCTCAAGAAAGACCAAAGCATAGATCTAGACAACATTTTAGACCAGTGATCTGCAACCTTTACAACCAAAGGGTCATTTTTACTCTCAGGCCAGCTATATAAAACTGCTTTAAAAACTAAAACAACCATCAAAAGAAAATTTTTACTCTTTAACAATTATTTAGTAAAGAAAACTGGCTGACATTGTTCGTATTTCCTTTTATGGTTTTACATTTATTTTTTTTTTTTTTTGCAACTTAAAGTATAAATAACATTTACTCAAAGAGATATTATCTTGTGGCCCCATGACAGTGTTGCAGGGGTTAAATACGAGACCATATACAGAGGCTTTGCTCCTCAACGCAGCCGTCACAGATTTTAGTCCTGGTCTGGTGACCTTTGCCGCAATGCTTCTCTCTTTCTAATCCCATTTCCTGTCTGCATACTTTCAAAAATAACTAAGGCCACAAGCCTAAAAGATAATCTTAAGAAAAGATGTTGCTTTTGTAAAATCATGTAAAAAGAAAGTTTCCAACATAATGACAAAAACATAAAAAACATTATTACCAGTGGGGCCATTTTATTATCAAAATTAGATAAATATATGTAATAAAAACCCGTTTAAAATAGTGTTAAATGTCTGTTTTATATAAAAAAGAATACATATTTAGGTCATTGATGATTATAAGATCTTATGAAATTGGCCCAAGGGGTATTTGGGGGTCCCCATAAAAAAAGATCCCATAAAAATGGCTATGCCACCCTCCAACCAAAGCACTGTTGATGATTATTGATTCAGAGTTTGTTGTTTATGCCATCCAAAGTCAGATCAGCACTAATGCCTGCTCTGTGCACTCACCTATCAATCATGGATGCATGGCCCATTTCAAAGCAACCAAACAGAGAAGGGATCCTGATAAATGTGTGCATAGGAACTAGTGAAAATAGCCTGACCCCAAAGTTAGAATCAAGCATTTAAAGAAGCCAAACACATTGAAAAGTCCATTATATCAACAGACCTTTTTTTATTTCTGCAGCCTGTCCAATTCTTCATGTTGTGTGGAGTGGTGGCCTAGTGGTTAGGGCATAGAGCTTGGAATCCTGAGGTTTTGAGTTTGAGCCCCACTCACATAGACTGCCACTCTGGCTCTCTGAGCAAGACCCTTAACCCTTCATCTCCCATGCGCCCCATGATGGCAGCCCACTGCTCCCAAAGGGGATGGGTTAAATGCAGACGAAAATTTCTCCCATGTGAGATCAAAAAAGTTCAATTATCATCGTCATAATGTTGAGGGGAAAACAAGTTTTGCTTGATAAACTGGGAATGTATAACACATCCACTGGTACCAGCAAGTTTTGTCTTCTATAATTCTGGTGCTGATTATAAACATAAATCTTTGGTGCAGTGTTAAAAAGAAATCCATTATGACAATTGATCACTATTATATTCTTAATTAATTACAGTAGGTGTTTATATGTCTGAAAAATATAGGTTACATGGAAGTTTGTCTAAACTTGGGTCAAAAGGTATAGACAGTTGCTTTAAGCCAAACATAAAAAGCTGAGTCAGATAATTCTGTTCTATGCATAAAGTCCAACCAGGTTGTAATTCATTAATAGTGGGTTACAAAGCCAAGAAAATAAAGATGTGTGGTGGCACAGAATATAATTTCACCTATTTTTCGAAGACCTGTGACTTCCTACCTTTTATTGCTCACGCTTTCTGACAATAAGCAAAAAGCAGGGCCATCAGTGACCCAGCCAGGAGGTCATAATGATGCTATTGTTTCTTTAAGAGGGCCCAGAGGCATCTCACCACTTAATGCGCTCATGTAGGGTTCCAGGAACCACCCATGTGCTGCCATTATCTCTCAGGGAGTAAATGTTCACATGTGGAAACAGAAAGCACTCCAAAGGGCTCAGTTTCAACCTGTGGTGAGACTCTCCTGTTCTAAAGGAGCTACTGGTACATGAAGCTGAATGAAAGCAGAAATCTGGAATTTTCTTTTAGGAATGTTGTAAATGTAACATATGTTGTTAGAAGTTTCTGTCTTATAGATGTAACAGGCAATAATTTCATTTTCATCCCTATTGCATCAGCAGCAAAGTGATTTACAGCTGCAAAATAAGACAAAGAGGCATTTGTACAGCAAAGGGAAAATATATTAGATAAAATATATTAGATAAAGGTGCACCTCTGCTTGTTCATCCAACATGAGCCCTATCTTCGCACTGCTGGTGCCATTTTTATTTTTCTTGTTCATTTGGCTGCTTTAATTTACTCCACAGAGTCCCCTTCCTACATGGTGAGCTCCTCACCAGAGAACAGAATACAGCTTGAAAGCCACAGCAGCACCAATAATTAAGTCAAGCTTAATGCTTTTTAAAATGCAATTGAAATGAACATTATAACCAACTAGAAACATCAGGTTACATTATCTTTTTTTTTTTTTTTTGCATCTGATAGTGATTAAGTAAGACAAAATACAGGCATACAATTTCAAGCAGACAAACAGGACCAAGTATTCTGCACGCATACATACTGTATCAGAGGATAAAAGAGAATAACCATTTAACCTCAAATCATGTTTTTTGAAAATCTTGGTCAAAGGAAGAAAAGACTTTAACCAAAATTTAAACATGGGACCTACTTGCTGCAAGAATAGCAACACTTTTTCCACTGGCAGCATTATCACTCTTGGAATCACTGCACCCTGGAAGTGTTATGGTTCCCCCCTTTTGGGATTTTGAGTTTTCACTCAAAGTAATTCTGTTTTATTGATCTTTGGTTTATTTTCTGTTTTGTGTTATATTTAAGCCAGTCTTTAGTTACTCTCTGTTGCCCCCTTGTGCCTGTCTCCTTTCCCCTACCTCCCTTCTAGTCATTTCCATCCACACCTGCTCCATATCTGCTAATTAGCTTGGTCTTCTTTCAGTCTCCCATTTTTAAACCTCATGTTCAGTCACTGATGGCTGGTTCCTTGTTGTTGTTAGTTGCTTCCTCAACTCTGACACCCAAAGTGAGTTTTCCCTGACGTTTGCTGATTTTTTGATTCTAAGTATTTTTGTGTCTTTGGATGTTTGCCTCAGTTTTTCATTAAACCTACAAGGATTCATCTCTGCTTCTGGGTCCTCAAGCAACCTCATCCCCCATTTTGAGAGGAAGATGATTTAAGAAACTTCCAAACATTTTAAGGCTCTAATGGAAATATTTGTGGTCCAGTATAACCTTATCCCAGCCGTCCATCATAAACTACACATACAAACTAAAAAGGTTTGGCAAACTCTAACTGAACAGGCTACAATCATGGTGACTTTAAAGGTTGTAATTCAGGATCCTCATCCAGTTTCATATTGGTCTGTATGCATGGTATTTTCTCTTTGCTTCTTTTAATATCTGTTTTCAGAGAGCATTAACTTTGTCTCCTTAAAATGCTAAAATAAGCCAAATAAACTGAAGGCTAAAAAAAAAACAGCATTACAGCAGGAAAGTATTCAAGGTTCAGAAATAGAAACATTGATTTCTTCATTATTCTGTTCGTTTGTGAGGATACCTGTCGGCCAGCAGCTGCAGGGCCCTGAGACAAGCTGCCCGGACTGTTTGTGTACTTGTTCTTCTGAAGGTCCATCAGGGCGTCCCTCTGCCGTTCGATATCCGCCTTGTGTATGCTGTTCAGGGCCTCCAAGCTTTTAGCGGCCACAGAATTGTGCCGGCGGTCCAGCGAGGACGATGTGAACCCCCCATTGCTGTTGTCTGGGAAGCGGCGTGCCCCACGGCCGCCACTGGCAGCCAGGGTGTGGTAATCCCGTGGGAACTCAGCATCACCTGCAGAGATCATGGAATCCTTTCTCTTGTCTCGAGCTGAAGAAGGGAAGACATTTGAGGAAAGGAAAAACAAGGGTTACAAAGTGAGGCATTAAACTGAAAAGCAGATTGATACAGTGATAAGAAGTTTAACACTGGGGACATTTCAATGTCTGAAACTCTGAGGTTAAATCTTACAAACTGGGGAACTTTGAGTAAGAGTGACCTTAAACTCAAAAATCAAGTTTACATAGGTGCATGAGCATTAAGATAATGACAACATTTAACTAATTTTACGATGATTTCAAAAATATTGTCTTGTTTTTTACTAGAGGGTCATAATTATTCATGCAGGCCATGAACCTGTACTAATATTTTATTTCAACGATTAAGTTGCACTGTGATTAAATTATTTTTGTTTTGTTTTTTTGCATTGCACCGAAAATTAATTGACCATGCTTGATGAAAGAATTAATAGGGTTTAATTAAACTAGTGTGTTTCCTGGGACAGTCAGCTTTTAGACATAAACACATTTTCATAAAAGCTTCAAGTGAAATACTAAACAGCTCATAAGCTTAGTATATTTTGCAAAACCATTTCCTGATGTGCTTTTGATTATTGGCCTTTTGGACAAATAAGTTGTTTACATTCTTTTTAAACCACGTGACTCAAAATATAACCCTAGGATCAAACAAACTGGGTTTGGATGTAAAGGAATAACATTGCAACCAGAAATCTTGACTGCTGTTGAAATTTTGGAACAACTTAACCACCAGGATCACCATCCAATTAGGACAGTTTTAACATCATCATGCATTTGACGAGTACTAAACAAGGAACCTCTGCTCTATAATTGGGTGTTTAAACACAAGTCAAAAACTTCCTGAAAAAAAAAGATTTTAAGCTTAAACATGGCAGAATCTGATCCTTTTTCCATCCTAAACGAATATGCCTGGATGAGTCAAGGAAACACGAAACAAGATAATGAGCTGTCAAACATTATGGTGGCAGCATTACACAGAGAGGCATCTCTGGTGCAATTTACAACGATACATTGCATATAGCTTATGGAGTAGTAAATCATAGGATTAAAACAATTCTTAATGAAAGTTGTTCACTTCAAATCAACACATACCTAAAAGGCTAAAACTGAGCTTCTGGAACAGCTTTTCTGAGGTTTATCCCACATGAACCCTCAAATGTTTGGACTATGTTTCATAGCCATTTTTTTCATCAAAATTAACGATTTCAAAAGGAAAAGTGAGAAAATCTGGACAGCATGTTTATGACAGAGCCTGTAGGGTATCTAAAGATTTGAATTTAAGGAAACAAAAAAAAGCAAAAAACAACAAAATGGAGTTTAATTTTCTTTCCACTAAAAAATACTTTACACATAAAGTAATAAAACAAAATACAGGATTATCATCAATAACAATTATTTAATAGAGCAGCAATATATGATTGAGCTTCACTGGAGCTAAAATAGATTCCAACAAAACTGGTTTCTAGATATATTAAACACAAAAAATTTTTTATTAAGAACAAATCTTAAATGTTAGCTTCATATACATGTAAACAGATATCAAGAGAAATTTTGAGGTTAAATATAAGCAAAGAGCCCAAAAGAAAAACACCTTAAAATCAACCAGAGATTTAAGAGATTTTGCTGTAGGAATAGACTGGATACAGTTGTTTTTTTTTATTTTTTTATTACTAATTAAACCTAAATAATTATCCTGATAAGTTATCAATTTCGGGAGGTATACTTTTTATCTACATTTTTGCCAACAAATCAATAAGGGGGAAAAAATGCTAATCAATTTCAATTCGCGGCTTTGTAATAACCCTCCTTTCTCTGCTCATATATCATATTAGTTTGGTTTTACCTCTTTTGTTAAGCATTTGGACACGTTGCGGTTTTCAAGGGTCAAATTTTCAAAAAATCTACTTGAACCACTATGAAATGTTTAAGGTTCGTGTTGTGCTTCATTATCTACAAAGTTGTGCAGTTACTGGTTTCTTCTTTTATTGGGGAATAATTTTAGTATTACTGAAATCATACCCCTTGTATACTTTTTACAATATTGGAGTATTGCCCATGTGTAACCTCAGCAGTCTGTAGCTGTAAAAAAAACATTTAGATAAACAAAAAGTCATTAAAATCCTTATTCAGGTTCATTGTGGTCAGTTCCAGGTGTGAAATCAAAGGTAGCATAACTGAATCAAATGGCAGTTTGAAGCATCTTATTTCACCATGGGAGATTTTTTAGGGTCATTGTTGGCTACATGTTATTATCAGCACAGACTGTACCATTATTTTTACCATCCTCATCAAAATATCAACATTAAAAACCTTTGACTAATATTTTACATGGCCAAAAAGGCATAGGCTACTTCACAAGAAAGACTAATTGTTTCAAAATTTGTGAATTCACAAACTCCCGAAAATACATTTTGGAAGAGGCCAAAAGATGCAGTAGCCTCGATACAGAAAATCTTTGGACCAATGAAATGCAAGACGCATATAACATCAACCAGAAGCGGATCTCTGAAGCACAACAAATGCGGCTGCTTCAATTTTAGCTGGAATATCCTCTATTTATTTTTGCAAAATTAGCTAAATGTGCTTCTCTGAATGGGAAAAATGTTTGCACGTTCTTCCCGACAGGATTTGGCAAGAGTGTGATTTATTAGGCTACGTTCACACTGCAGCCTGAAGTGACCCAAATCCGATTTTTTTTTGGCCCATATGCAACCTGGTTCTGATCTTTTCATGGCTGTCTAAACAACACAGATCCGATTTTTTCCAATCTGACCCAGGCCGCTTGGCTATGTGGTCCTGAATCCGATACGAATCTGATCTTTTCAAATGTTACCTGTGTCTGAACAGCCAGGTCACATTTATCCGACCTGAACGCCATAAATACCCGACAGTGATCATTATTCTGCGTCTTGCTACGCAAAAGCGACAAGAAAAACAACAACCATGGCAGATGATGATGTGGAGAGCAGTATTTATGTTTAACCATATTGAAAAGATTGAGTTTTTTATGGTTGGAAAAGACCGCTAGATGCACAACCATCAATGTTTACTTCCGTAAACACAGAGCACACTGGCTTGTGACGTCATTGCGTCCTCTACTGCGCATGCGGGACACTTGTGTTGTATGACTGCAGTTCACACAGGAGATCACAAACAAGTCGCATATATTTGGAAATATGAACGGCAATGCAAAAAAAAATCGGAATTGAGCATTAAGGCCTGCAGTGTGAATGTAGGCTTAGTTAACTTTGTTAGTTGTGAAACAAATAATTTGTTTCGGCACACTTTCTACCACTGCTACAATTGGCTAAAAGCTCTACATTGGAGCCATGTGCCACTTGATTAACCCAATCAACTTGAAGTATTATACTGAATATCCCTCCCTTAAACAAACACTTTCTACAGGTGCCTTTGCAGATGAAAACTGTGTATAGAATTCAACTGAACTAAAAAATCTGGCTTATGCCAGGCTATGATAAAACAATAAGAAAAACTAAATGTATGAGCAGACAAAAACAATATCTTATGATTTGATTCATATTTTAAACCACGACTTATTCCAATTCAACATAATCTTGTTTTTTTTCATTATGATATGGTTCTTATTGTAGAGTCTCTGCTTTATTGACGACTTGCTTTACTCATGGACTGGTTACAGAGAATAACCCAATCTTAGAGAAAAATGAAATGGCTAAATGGACTTTATGCATCACCTTAAACTAGGATGATTTAAATGTTCAATGAAGTAAAACCCATATGCGTTTTGCGGGCTTTAACTGCAGATAACAGTAAACACCCTAATGATATTTTACCTAATCTCTTTTATCTAATTTACATATACAACTGTATTTATTTAGTCTTATAACTGAACACAAAAATTGTTTTTTACTCCTGCCAGAATATTTAAAGGTGTTTTCAAAGGTGCAAATCCAATCCAAATCAGTTCCTCTTGCTAAACTTCTGCAAAAAAATGATACAAGTACAAAAACATTTCCTGTTTGGATAAACCAAGAAGTTTCCGCATCTCTACATGCACACATGAGACTGTGAGAAAACACACCTCTGGCATTTTAGCCGCATGTGAAAAACAAGGGGAACATCTGTCTGCTTCTACAACTGTAACTGTCCTGGGAACCCTTAGGCAAGACAAAACAGTCATGTAGAAAACTTATTATGTGAGACCAAAGAGGCTTCGTCTGACACTCATTCAATGGAAAGTGACAGAAATAGGAATGTTTGTCTCCAGGGGAAATGTAGTTTAGTGCCCTCTTGTGCCCATTTATACACAAGCAACACTTCCCTGCAGAAGGTGATCAGTCACAGTAAGTTTGAGGTTAGTTAAATTGAATTTTAAATTAATTGAATAGAAGAGTAGAAATGTCAAAGAATTAATTCATATTAAAGAATATAATGCAGAAACAGTATGTAAAGATGTACTTTGTAGAAAACAACAGAAACATTTTACAGTACACAGAAGGTCATAGGAACAGATTTATGCATTACTGATGTGTGGAAATAGGTTTCATTGTTTGCTGACAATGCCCTTTTCTTAATCAGATTACGATTTGATACCTAAAACAAGTCAAATTATATCACTCCTGCATATTCTTTTCCAGCTTTAAGTGAAAAATAATCTAATAGTATTTCTATTATGCCAGAGAGAGCCTAAACTGATGATGCTGGACTGCAGAGGAAGTTTTGTTTCAGCTGAGATTCCTGATAGTTCAGCAAGAAATCATGAAAATAAGAGCAAGCTTAATTGATTTTGGTCAGCTTCTCTTGTTTGTGTCATTTAGGGTATTTTCAATCATTAGCAGAAATGTTCAATAACATTTCACAGCAGAAATAAAAGCACCATCACTCTTTTATATGAGGCAGGCTGTTGAAAGTGACAACTCTGCTCTACAGAATTCTGCTCTCGAGCCTTTTACCAACTGGACCTTCAAAAAAAGAATCATATTAACGATATTAAGCAGCGTCCATGATGTTTTTCACTCCATTAATTCCAACCAG